AGTCCTGCTGTACACCAAGATATCATCAAGGTAAACTATCACAAAATCCTCTATAAAGGGTCGCAACAAATCATTCATAAGCCTCATAAAGGTAGCCGGAGCATTGCACAATCCAAACGGCATCACCAACCACTCGAACAGGCCTTGCTTGGTCTTGAACGCAGTCTTCCAAGTGTCTTCCTCCCGAATCCTCACCTGATGGTAACCAGACTTCAAATCCAGCTTCGTGAAAAACCTCGCTCCCTCCAACTGGTCCATAAGATCATCGATCCGCGGTAATGGGTAGCGATTCTTGATGGTTATCTTGTTAAGCGCCCGGTAATCCACGCACATGCGTCAGCCTCCATCCTTTTTGGGCACCAACAACACTGGTGACCCGCAAGGCGAACAACTTGGCACAATCACTCCTGTCTCCAAGAGCTCCTGAACTTGCTTCTTGATCTCCTCGGACTCTAGTACTGATGTGCGGTATAGGCCTATGTTAGGTAAGGAACTCTCCCCGGTCAACATAATCTCATGCTCTACACCTCGACGTGGTGGTAGTCCCGTGATCTCCGAAAACAAGTCCGCATACTTGACCTTCAACCTATCAAGATCTCCCTCCTGGCGCTTGCTCAAGGTGGACAAGCACATCCTACTCAGCTGTTCTTCATACGGCCGAATGAACAATAAAACGAACTTCCTGCCCGCGTTCACCAACCTCTTAGCCTGAGTCACTGTCACCAAGCTCGTCTCCTGTGGAAGAGATGCCGAACGAAAAATGAATTGCTCGCCATCCTTGGTGAACGTATACTTTTAGGCTTGTCGATCATATACTGCGTATCTATCCCACAAATAAGGATTGCCCAAAATAACTTGGCAAACATCCAACGGAACCACGTCGCATGTGACCTCGTCAATATACGACTCGTGGAGTGCAAATCTGAATGAACACTGGTTCACCACACTCAATCCCGCCTCCTTCTGAATCCACCCTAATGGATAGGGCTTCGGATGCTTCACCGTCTTCAATCCCAGCTTCTGTACTAATGCCTCAGATATTAGATTTTTCTGGCTTCCTGTATCTACAATAGCATCCACTAAACTGGTCTTGACCTGCAACTTTAGAACAAAGTGCTGCTCCATCGGGTCGTTATCTTCTTTAGTGGCCTGCTTCCCCGCCATAAGGTTGAGACTGCTATTAGGTTCAGTCATCCTAGGAACCTCCTTCGGACCCTGTGCTATCACGTACGCCTTCTTCTCCTCCTTCTTCTTCAACCCTTTTAGCTTCAAATGAGGATACTTATCCCAGCAACGATCAGCCACGTGCCCTGTCTGTTTGTAGTGATTGCATGTCGATCCTGCTTTCCCCGAGTCACCCTTCTTCTTCTCATCCTTAGACTGAGAGCCACCCGTCTTGCTCCCCGATGGTTTAGAATCCCTCTTTGTCTCGTTGCCCTTCTTCTGCCTACCCTCAATGGCTATGGCCTTCACGCTCGCCTCTGCGATTGTCTCAACCGAAAACAGCTTCATCTCCTTCTTAATGTAATCATTCAGACCCGTCATGTACTTCATGAAGATGGAGTACTCGTCCGTTGTGATGTTTAGAACCATCACCTGCTGCTGGAACTCCGTCGTGTACTCTTGAACGGTCTGATTAAACTTTTGGCGCAAGCTATACCACTTGTACCAATGCTCCTCAAGGAACTCCACTGGATAGAACTGTTTCCGAAGTAGCTCCTTGAACTTGTTCCACGACGTCGCTTTCTTCTCCTTTTTGCAATAGGATTTCCACCACGTCAACGCGTGCCCTAAAAGCTTCAATGTCGCGAACACTATCTTCTCCTTGGACGAATATCCATAGAGAGTAAAGTACATCTCCGTACGTTCGATCCAATTATCAAGCTTCTCCACATTGATACTCCCATCATAAACAGGAATCTCAACCTTGAAGTCAATCTTCAGATTCTGGTAATTATTCTTACCCCCTTGATGTCCAACAGTCTTGACAATCTTAGTCTCCCCCTCTGAATCAGATTCCTCTCTCTCTTCGTCGGATTCGACGAGTTTCTTCTTACCCTTCGAAGAAGATTCCTCCTTTTTGTCTCCTCCGTTGATGAGACCTACGAGTTGAGTAAGAGTCATCCCGATCGTCTCAATCTGCTTCTCCATGGCATCAAGTCTTGCTGAATTATCTACTTCAGTCATCTTCTCCTTTCTTAATTTCTAGACTCTCTCCAAGGAAATAAGGATCTCACCAAGCTTCTTGTACTGTGAGCGAGTAAGGACCATACACAGGTTCCCCCTTCACAGGATCTAGGTGCTCTGATACCAACTTGATACAAGTCGCCATGCGAGCACTCTTGATCGCGGAATTATCAAGAGTGGGTAGAGAAGAAAATGACAGAAGAACACAAGAGTTATAATTAGGGCGAAGGAAAATTCCTTCTCTAGATTATGAGAATCAATTGGATTTACAAAATCTCTCTCTCACAATCTCTCTAGATCAAAGAACAACCTCCCTGATCTCTTTTCTGATTACAATCTGAGTGTTCAACCCTAGAAAAGTCGTGTTTCTATTTATACTAAACAGAAATCCTAAACGGTGCAGAAAATAGACCCAGGCCCATAACCGCTACGCAGTCGACCGTACTGACCAAGTCGGTCGACCGGCCAGAACATCGATTTCTGGAAAAATTGCTTACAGGGTTTCCGGTCGACCGCAGCGCCTATAGCGGTCGACTGCTCTTAGTCCAGAGACACAGTCTGGGTCTGTACACTACGCGGTCGACCGCAGTGACACATGCGGTCAACCGGACAGAGCCCAAGCTGTAAGTCCTGCAGTTTGACGAATCCTTCGACTTCGCCGCCTCCAATGACCTTGTCCACGACTCCTCTACCCTATTCTTAAGATACCATGAGAATCATCTATCCTCAAGCTCCAATAAGGATCGCTAAGCTCCCAAAGAGAAGATACACCCGTATCACAAATTCTTTCAGTGTCCCAGTTTCTGGTGTTAGGATCAGCAATGAATTTACTCCACTCAATGTGCACAATGATGAAGGCATTGATTTATTTGTTGATTTATCAGACAAGATTGGTAGTAGCAAGAAGAACGGCCATGTTATGCATCTATTTCAACTGTTAAAGGCCATAAGAGTAATAGAGGTAGAGGTAGTTCTTCCTAACCTAGGTGAAATCATTTGGAAGTTGGAATATTAGGGGCCTTAACCGCCCTAACAAACAAAAAGAGGTTAAGAATTTGATCAATGTACATAAGTTTTTCTTCTTGGTATTTTAGAAACTAAAATTCAACCAGTGCATGCTTTTGTTGTTGCTAATAAATATGCTCCAAATTGGTCTTTTACGTATAATTTTGATTTGTATATTCATGAGAGAATTATGATGATTTGGGATCCTAGTATATTTGACCTTCATTGTTCGTTAATAACTACTCAGTCGATCCATTATTTTATCATTGATAAGAGCACTGGTAACAATTTGTTTGCTACTTTTATTTATGGTTTTAATCAAGCTAATCTAAGAAGATTCCTCTAGAATGACCTCAGATCCATTAGCTCTACAATGAATGGTCCTTGGGTGATTTTAGGAGATTTCAATCGCATATTTGATGTTGGAGAGAGGATACAGGGCAAAAGTGTTACTAGAAATGAGTTGATGGAATTACAAGGACTGATTAGTGACACTAAGCTGATGGATATGAAGTTTAAAGGATGTTATTATACTTGGTCTAACAAGCATGTGTTTTGTAAACTTGATAGGGTTTAAATCATTTAGGCTGGGCTTAATTATTTTCCATCTACTAACACAGAACTTCTTGCTCGAGGCATCTGTGATCATAGTCCAGCATTAGTTTCTTATCACATTACTACTAATTCAATGTCTTCTTTCAAGTATTTCAATTATTAGAATGATCATCATAATTTCAATGGTGTTATTCTTCAAGCTTGGAGTAGACAGTTTCATTGGACCTTAATGTTTAGACTTGTCCAAAAATTGATGTCAGTTAAATATCAGCTTAAGAATTTTAACTGTTAGTTTTTTGGTTGTATCTCTGGTAGAGTTAAGAAGGCAAGAGAGGATCTTCATCAGGCTTAGCAAAATGTTTTTTATAATCAATCTGATATTAATCTAATCTCTTGTGAGAGGGTGCAGCTAAAGAAGTTCCTTACTCTCCTCAAGTATGAATCAATGTTCTTGCAACAAAAGGCTAGAGTGGAATGTATTAAATTAAGATATAGTAATACTAGTTGCTTTGATGCTCAAGTGAAACAAATAAAGATGAGGAGTTTTATGTTATCTATCATTAATTCTCAGGAAGTCCAACTCACTAAACAAGAAAATATTCAAGAGGAACTAGTAAAGTTTTATAAAGACATCCTGGGAGTTGAAGCTTCATGTTAGGCTCTGTCTATGACTATTCTAGCTAGAGGACCTGTTATCTATGATGAACATTGCATTGATTTGTGTAGGCTGGTTGCTGAGCATGAGATCAAAGTTGCCTTGTTCTAGATTAATCCAAATAAAAGCCCTGGTTTAGATAAATACTCTTCTCAGTTCTACAAAGATACTTGGAACATTGTTGGCAATGATGTGCGCACTGCAGTGAGTGATTTTTTTAGGTATGACAAACTACTTAAGTTTCTGAATTCCACTTCTATCCCCTTATTCCTAAAAGTCAATGTCCCAATACTGCCTCTGACTATACGCCTATTACTTATTGTAATGCATTGTAGTAATGCATTTCAAATGTTTTAACCAATAAGCTTAGAAGAGTTATTTCCTCTGCTGTGAGAAGGAGCAAAGGAGATTTTATTAAGGGTATAAGCATTGTGCATAATGTTTTAATGGGTCAAGAGCTTGTTCATATGTATGGGAGAAAATAAATTTCTCCTAGATGGACTTTAAAAATTGATCAGAGGAAGGCTTATGAATCATTCAGTTGGCAATTCCTTGATGTTCTTCTTAAAGGCCATAGTTTTCCTAACAAATTTACTAGATGGGGATGGAGTGTGTTAGCACTACTTCATTCACTATCCTAGTTAATGGTCAGCCTTCTGAACCTTTTTCTAGTAAAAAAGGCCTTAGGCAGGGAGATCCAATCTCACCCCATCCCTTTGCTCTAGTGATGGAGTACTTCAATAGGAGTTTTTCTGATCTAGGTCATGCGAAGGTATTTCATTTTCATCCTAAGTGTAAGAGCAATAATCTAACCCACTTATGCTTTTGCTGATGACATGATGTTATTCTGTAAAGGAGAATTGAGATCCATAAAACACTTAGCTTTGAAGTTCACTCACTTCTTTCAAGTTTCTGGGCTGTGTGCATACCTGCTAAAAGCTAGTTTTCTTTGGTGAAGTTGTTGCCAATATTAAGTGCTCTATTCTACAACACTTGGGTCTTTATGAAGGTGTTCTGCCTATTAGATACTTGGAGATTCCTCTCTCGTCTAAATGTCCTACTTCAGCTGATTTTGCTATCCTTATTGAGAGAATTCTCTCTAAGATTAGAAACTGGACATCTAGGTTCTTATCATTTGCTGGAAGACTTCAACTTATTAAATCAGCCATATATAACATGCATGCATATTGGGGGAGCATCTTCTTATTGCCAAAGAAAGTCATTCAGGAAGTTGGACAGCTATGTAGAGATTTCTTGTGGACTGGTTCATATGGCCAGCACACAAAGGCTAAAGTAGCTTGGTCATCTGTGGAGGCCTTGGTTTACAACATATTCCTTCATTGAATAAAAGTCTTGTCATGAAAAATTTGCGGTCTCTTGTCCTCATGAAAGACTCCTTGTGGGTGAGATGGGTTCATGGTTATTATCTTAGAGAGAAATGTGTGTGCGATCTTGATATAAAATCTAATTTCTCTTCATGAGAACACTTAAACTCAGACATGAAGCATTGCTGTGTATAACTTTCAATGAGGAGAACTCGAAGTGGCTTGGTCCTAAGCCATAATTTAGTTCATCCTCTACATATAACATTCTGATAGGAGAAAATATTAAAAAGCAGTGGACTCATAACGTTTGGAATAGATTGTCTATTCCTAAACATAAGTTCTTTACATGGTTACCTTGCGAAGGCTAGACTTCATCATATTGGGGTTCTGGATGAGAACTCATGCACTTTTTGTGGAGTGAAGATTATGTTAGGTCTTGTGTTTATGAGCCTACTACCTAATCTAGTTTTGATGATTAACAAACAATTCCTAACATCATTTATCGAATGTTTGTATTTACTTGTTAGGAATACTACACAAAGATCCTCTGTGGGAGATTCGTTGGACTTGCACTTTCATGATGATATTCAAAGGAGGTTGGTGAAAATTGGTATAAAGTCGTCACAATTCAAGTCAAGATTCATCATTGCTTCATCCCGCTACTAAGATCGAGCTTCACGAAGATTATATGCTTGGTATAGCGTTTATAGGTTAGGTGTTTACTTTATGTGGTATACTTAGAGCTCAAACCATACACACACATTTTATCCATTTTCATTGTTTTACACATTTGTTTCATATTTATCCCATTTTACATTTTTTGGGAAAATTGCGTGTTTATATATTAAAGATTTAACTATACTATTTTAAATCTTTTATAAAGTCTATTAATCCACTTAAAAAACTTTCAAACTTGTTTAAAATTATTTTGTCAAAATCATGTGTTTTGAGATTTCGTATTTTGACCGATTTTGAAAAATGATGATTTTCACAAATGGGAAAGATATTTGAAAATTTTATTTTCTAACATGTTTGTTTTCATGTGAATAAATATTTTCCTAAGTTTTATAATTTTTGGAATTTATTTACTATTTTTAAAACACCTTTGAAAATCAGGTTTCTAAAAAATTCAGTGTCTGGACACCTGTCTTTCAGTCGACTGACATGGTCTCACCAGTCGACAGAAAATAGGTTTTTGATCGACCGTTGTGGTTCCACCAGTCGACCGATCAAAGTATTTTAGCGTATAAAATTTTAGACTTACCAATTGACCAATCACATACGATCAGTCGACCGATAAGCATGCACCGATTCACCGACACAGTATCATCAGTCGACCGATTTTTACTATTTTACCAGATCAGCCAATGGTCATATTATCAGTCGACTGATACATGTCACAAATTGACCGATAAGGGATTTTTCTGCATAACGGTTAGTTTTGGCTGATTCTTTTGAGAGGCTATAAATAGCCCTTAACACTTGGATTTTTAACAAGAGTTTTCCAAATTTTGGTGTGTTTGTTTATATGAAGAAATTTTCACAAATAGAAGAATCACAATTTTATTTTTGAGGTTTCAACCTCAAATCATCATCTACACCTCTTTGTCTTTTAGAGAAGTTTTTCTAACTCTTTCTTCTAGCTAATCTTATATTTTGATTCTTATATTTTTATGCTAGATTGAATTGAGTTTAATTTTGTTATTGTTCATTGTTTACACACACAACCATTTGAGCTTAAGTATTTCAAACTTAGTATACTTGGGTTGTGGGAGTGTATCTTTGAGTGAGCTTCAATTTTGTCCTCATTTGTATTGGAGAACAAATTTACTTATTTGAGCTTATTGTCGTGAAACACATTGAAATACACAAGGACACTTTGAGGAGTGGTTGTAAGAAGAATATGGTTAATTCTAAGAGGAGTGACTTGGTTGTAAAAGCCTAGGGAGAGGTAGTAAGTCTAAGCACTTGAGGAAAGTGACACGGGTCGACCAACACTTAGAGGAGTGTATTGTGTGATTGTCAACATGTGATTTGTAAATATTATCGGTGCGCAATGAAAACCAATTTGTATAGTTATAGTTGTGTTGTTAGTGGAGAATCTCCTCGAGGGTGAGGAGCAGAGAGGTAGGATGAGGGTTGATCGAACTTCGTGAACATATCATTGTGTTTGTGATTGTTTTGGCGCTCTCTTATTGTCTCAATGTTTATATCACTTATTGCTCATTGTATATCCTTGCATATTTCATTGTATATCACATTGTTAGGACATATTAGTTAATAAGTTTTTATTTTGGAATTAATATCGAATTAGATTAGTAAATACCCTATTCACCCCCTCTCTAGGGTACTTTTATTTGGTATCAGAGCATGATGCTCTTTGATTTATGGCTTAATCGCCTAGAGTCAAAGATCCTTTCTTTGAAAATTTGCTAATCTAGTTTTATGATTATCTTGCTTGCATTTACATTATAGATATACACGGTGCACCTAGTTTAGGTTATGCTGTTAATATTGCTCTAAAATTCAATAATTTTCCTTATGTTCAATGGTGTGTTAGATTTAAACTAATTGTTAGATCTAAATATTTTGATTTATGGAAAATAATTAATTATGCTTATGTTGTGTCCACATTGGAGAAATCCAAGTAGAGTAATAATGATAAAAGAATATTTACAAGGAACAAGCTTTTGTTAGAATTTTTGCTTAATGCTTTTGATTCATCTATATCTAACAAACTTGCTTCTTTTGATAGTGCTTACAATTTATGAAAATTTATAGAAGCACATTAAGGAAACTTGGAGGAGATCTGACATATTTTGGCGGATTCCACTTCAAGTGCTATTGGAGCTTCGTCATGCATACAGCCACTATACGATGGACCTAGTGAGCTATGCGAGTTCGATTTAAAAAATAAATTATCTATAAATAAACTCGCTTGTGCTTATGAACAATTAATGTTTGCCTACAATAAATTGCATCATAATTTTATTTATATGAAAAGCAAGCATGTAAATTTTAAATCCGATCATGGTATGCTAGCATCAAAATTTGATCCCATTGCTAAGGAGAATATGACTAGTAAGGACAATAATGATAAATTAAAACAATATGCATTTTATTTATTGCTTCCTATTGGTAAATATACATGAGAATTATATTTTGTATATTCATTTAGTATCATGCATATTTCCTATAATCTTTGTGTAGATTGTTTGTTATCATCAAAAATAGGGAGATTGTTAGGTCTCATGTTTATGAGCCTACTATCTAATCTGGTTTCGATGATTAAAAAACAATTTCTAACATCATTTGTCGAGTGTTTGTATTTACTTGTTAGGAATCCAACACAAAGATCCTCTGTTGGAGATTGATTGGACATGCACTTTCACGAATTCAAGTCAAAGATTCATCATAGCTTCATCCCGCTACCAAGATCGAGCTTCACGAAGATTATATGCTTGGTATAGTGTTTATAGGTTAGGTGTTTACTTTATGTGGTATACTAGAGCTCAAACCATACACACACATTTTATTAGTTTTTATTGTCTTACTTATTTGTTTCATATTTATCCCATTATACATCTTTTTAGAAAATTTATGTGTTTACTGATTAAAGACTAGACTACACTATTTTAAATCTTTTATAACGTCTATTATTCCACTTAAAAGAAGTTTCAAAGTTGTTTGAAATCATTTTGTCAAAATCAAGTGGTTTGAGATTTTATATTTTGACCGATTTTACAAAAAGATGAGTTTTCACAAATAGGAAATGATATTTGAAAATTTTCATTTTTTTAACATGTTTATTTTCATGTGAATAAATATTTTCCCAAGTTTTATAATTTTGGGAATTTATTTACTATTTTCAAAATACCTTTGAAAATTAGGTTTATGGAAAATTCAGTGTCTGGATATCTGTCTTTCGGTCGACCGACATGGTATCACCGGTCTATCAAAAACATGTTATCGGTCAACCGATGTGGTTCCACCAATTGGCCAATTAGAGTGTTTCAGTGTATGAATTTTCAGACTTACCAGTCGACCGATCACATGCGATCAGTCGGTCAATGAGCATCCACCGGTCAACCGACGCAGTATCATCAGTCAACCGATTTTTGCTATTTTGTCAGTTCAGCCAACGGTCAAGTTATCAGTCGACCAATACATGTCACTAGTCGACCAATCAGAGATTTTTTTGCATAACGACTAGTTTTGGCTGATTCTTTTAAGAGGCTATAAATAGCCCTTAACACTTGGTTTTTCAATAAGAGTTTTCACAGGGGTTTAAAGTGTGTTTACACTTGTTTAAATCCAAGTTTTTGTGTGTTTCTTTATGTGAAGGAATTTTGACAAAGAGGAGAATCAAAATTTTATTTTTGAGGAGTTCAACCTCAAAGTCATCATCTACAACTCTTTTGTCTTTTAGAGAAGTTTTTTTGTAAAACCCCGCTAATTTTGGGATAATATGTGATTAATTATGATTAGTGAATTTTTATCATGATAAATATCATTAAATGATGTATGAGTATGAAAGCAAGTGATTTGAGATCAAACAAGTTCATATATATGAGAGAAACGAGTCAAAATATGCATAGAGACCAAAACTTGCACCATACGGGAATACACTGGCCGGTCGACCGGCGTCCCATGCCCGATCGACTGACGCGTGTTTTTTTCAGAATCTACATTTGAATCGGATTTGGATCTGTTGAGGTCCAGGTTCACATGACTATATAAATATCACTTTTGCACAAATTTTACACATCTTATATCAGAACTTTCAAACCCTAGCAGCCACCATCTCCGTCATAAACCCTAGATCCAATCTAAGTGATTCTAAGAGCTTTGTGAAGCAATTTTTGACGTGGAGGCGAGATTGTTGGCTTGTGGCTAAGGGATCTATTTTGGATTTGCACTTTCAGGCTTTCAACAAAGGTTTTCAGGCGAGTTTCATCTCTACTAACCCTACACCCCTTTTTAAATTGATTTTTGAGAGACTTGTTATGGTTTTATTAA